CCAATGTACTTGGGTCCCAGCTTCCTTGAAGGACACAGCATCTTCAAGTTGGTCGTTGCCAGCCACACCTGATCCCCTGGTTGAAGCAGTAATTCTCCTCTTCTCTTCCTGTCGAACGCCCTCTTACTGTCCTCTTGGGCTTTAGCGATGGCTTCCTGAATTGTTTTGTTATTGACAGAAAAGAAGTTCAAGACGTCTTGAGACGCTGGTACCGGATTTTCAGGCATCAAATCAGGGAGAAATGTGGGATGATACCCGTAATTGGAGAAGAACGGGGATTGCCCCGTCGCTGAGTGACTTGAGTTGTTGTACGAGAATTCTGCGGACGGCAACAACGTCAGCCAGTCATCCTGAAGGTAGGACGTGTAACATCGTAAGTATTGCTCCAGAGTTTGGTTGGTCCTCTCGGTTTGGCCGTTGGTCTGTGGATGGTAGGCGGATGAAAGCGACAGCTTGATTCCCAGTGCCTTACACAAGGCGTTCCAGAACCTGGAGGTGAATTGGACTCCCCGATCTGACACTATATCTTCGGGAACCCCATGAAGCCTCACTACTTCCTTAATGAAGATTCGTGCCGTTTCTGGTGCCGATGGGGTCTTCTCCAGGGGTATAAAATGTGCCATCTTTGAGAAGCGGTCCACGACCACCATTATTGCTGTGTAGCCTTGGGATGGTGGGAGTTCGACCACAAAATCCATGGCTATCATTTGCCAGGCCCGCTTGGGTATTGGTAATGGACGTAACAATCCCCATGCCCGGCTCCTGGAGGGCTTGTTCCTTTGACAGGTGGAGCAGGTCTGGACGTAACGCTCGCAGTCCTTATTCATGTTCGGCCACCAGAACGAGCGCCGTAGTAGTTCCAGAGTTTTCGCAACTCCGAAGTGGCCTGCCATTTGATGGTCGTGGCAGTGCCCTAGGACCAAGGTTCGCACTTCTTCTGGGACCATGATCCGGGCTTCCTTCCAAAACAGCCCACCGTGGTTCAGGAGGGGTGACCCAGACGGAACTGGTAGTCCTATAGAAGCGTCGAGAAGTCTGGAACGAAGTTCCGTTTGTAGAGCGAGGAAACTTCCGGAAGGTAAGATGGTGTCAGGTACCACTGCGTCGTCGGGGTCCTCAAACATGCGGGACAGAGCGTCTGGTTTTTTGTGTTCTTAGTACCGGGTCGGTACGTAATATGGAATGTGAATCGCGAGAAGAAAAGAGCCCATCTTGCCTGGCGAGGTCTCAGTCGTCTTGCTGTTCTTAAATATTCAAGGTTTTTGTGATCTGTGAATATTAGGATTGGGTGTGTGGCTCCTTCCAGTAAGTACCTCCATTCTTCTAGAGCGGATTTGATGGCCAGGAGCTCCCGATCTCCAATATCATAGTTACGTTCTGCCGGTGTCAACTTCCTGGAGAAGAACGCCACGGGGTGCAGTAGTTCCTTGGTTCCATTTCTTTGGGACAGAACCGCTCCTACCGCGTTCTCGGAGGCGTCCACTTCCAAGACATATGGGAGAGAAGAATCCGGGTGGCAGAGAATGGGAGCAGAAGTGAACAATTTCTTGAGTTTCTCGAACGCCGTCTGAGCTTCGGGAGTCCACTTAAAGCGGACCCCTTGTTTCGTCAGTTGCGTGATCGGGGAGACCAGACCGGAGAAGTTCCTAACAAACTTTCTATAAAAGTTGGAAAAGCCGATGAAACGCTGTACCCCCTTTTTATCGGCGGGTATTGGCCAATCTAAGATCGCCGTGACCTTCTGGGGATCCATCGCGACCCCCGCGGAAGAGAGAACCAGTCCCAAGAACGTGATTTCGCGCTGCTCGAAACAGCACTTTTCTGCCTTGGCGTATAGCCCGTGTTGACGCAACCGTTCTAATACCCGTAATACGTGACCTCGATGAACCTCCAGTGAAGGGGAGAAAATTAGGATGTCATCCAAATAAACCACTACAAAAACATCGAGGAAATCACGAAAAAACATCGTTGATAAAATGCTGGAAGGTTGCCGGTGCATTACAGAGCCCGAACGGCATCACTAAATATTCATAGTGACCGAATCTCGTACGGAAGGCCGTCTTCCACTCATCCCCCTCCCTGATACGGACAAGGTTATAGGCCCCCCGCAGGTCTAGTTTAGTAAATATCATTGCTGATCTTAATCTCTGGAGGAGCTCGGGGACTAGTGGTAAGGGATAACGATTTTTTACCGTTATCTTGTTCAGATCACGGTAGTCTATGCAGGGCCGTAACGATTTGTCCTTCTTCTCTACGAAGAACAACCCGGCCCCGGCTGGGGATGTGGATGGACGAATAAATCCCTTCCTAAGGTTCTCGTCAATATATTCCCTCAGTACTCCCGATTCTGTTTCTGACAAAGGAAAGATACGGCCGAATGAGATTTCAGATCCGGGTAGGAGGTCTATGGGGCAATCGTATGAACGGTGCGGGGGAAGAACGTCAGCTCCTCGCTTACTGAAAACGTCCAAGAAGTCATGGTAGGCCGGGGGAATGGTCTGGGATAGATTGGCATCGCCATCCACGCACAGGAGGAACCGGGGACCCACGGATCCTGTGACGTGGCAGTGATTCAAACAGTAAGGTGACCTGAATTGAATCGTTCCCCTTTCCCAGTCAATCTGGGGGTTATGGGCCCGCAGCCAAGGGAGCCCCAGAATGACTGGAAATAGGGGAGATGCGATGGCATCCAAACGGAGGAACTCCTGGTGATGGTCTGCCATTGTGGTGAAAATGGGTGGTGTCTCCTGGTCCACCACCCCTGATTTTATACTGGACCCGTCTGCCAAGAAGATGTTGAACCCCCTTTCTTTGGTCTGAAGTGGTATTTTTTGCCGGTGGGCAAAAGTCAGGTCGATAAAACAACTACAAGCTCCTGAGTCAACGATTGTCACCGACAGTGTTCTTCCCGGGAGCTGTAAAGACACAGGTATGGCCAGGTAATTTGACTGATCATCCCTTCCTGCAGGTAAGGTAAAAGAAAAGGAAGCGGACTTACTCATTTTTGCAGGACAGGAGCGCACCTGATGACCAGCTTCCCCGCAGTACAGGCATAGGTTCAGCGATCGTCTCCTTTGACGTTCCTCGACCGATAAGTGGGAACGGGCCAGTCCCAGTTGCATGGGTTCCGGGTTGTCCCCCGATTCCGTGCTTCGGGGATGGTTCCCTGGGGTTGGAGCTGTGTCTCTTGGTGGGATCCATGCCACCCTTTGACCCTGGCTGCTCCTTTCCAGCCGACGTTCCCTTAACCTACGGTCAATCTGGATGGCCAACTCAATCAGTTTTTCCAGGGAGTCAGGTAGGCCTACTCGTGCAAGTTCGTCCTTGAGAGATTCAGACAGTCCGATGCGGAACTGGTGACATAAGGCCGCATCGTTACATCTGGTGTCTCCCATGCATCGCCTAAAATCGGATGCGTATTCTTCGGCTGCCCGGCGGCCTTGCCGCAGAGAGTATAGGGTAGCCTCTGCGGAGGCAGCCCGCTGAGGGTCGTCATACAATACTGCCATGGCCTGAAAGAACTCGGTCACGGAGTCAAGCTGGGGGGTCGCGCCTCTCCATCAGACGGTGAGCCCAATCCTGGGGCTCATCCTGAAGGAGAGAGACTATAAACCCCACCCTGACGGTCTCGGTGGAGAACGTGTGGGGCTGCAAGTCAAAATACAGGGTGCAAGCGTTTCGGATGCCGGGGTAGCGGGAGGTTCCACAGATGGAGAACCCTGAGCAGGGGGAGTCTGGGGGGGCTAACGTCTCCATGCGGTCCTCCAGTCGGGCGCAGCGACTGTGGAAGTTCTGGAAAGCCTGGGTCAAAGTTGCCAGGTGCTGGCAAATATCCTCTAGGGACGCCGGTCCACTTCCTGGCTCTGTCATGGCCGCAAGGTACTGTTATGATCCGCCAGCCGGAGCCCTCCAGCTGCCAACTGACAGACCAACCCAGAGCGTGGGGTCTAAGCCCGGGCTGTGCCTTCACCAGGGCCCCTGATGGTGGGGATGGACTTGAAACAGTCCCGGGCCAGGTCACGACCTCTGAGCGGGCCCACCAGCGGCTGAGGAGGCCTCCGGGGATGTGTGTAGGTACCGGGAGAGCCAGATATGAAGAGGATGGCGGCCCCAGCAGGGTGGTACGGATAGTGGTCCCGTGGGGGTAAGCGGGGTACCGAATCGGCGGGCAAGGAGTAGTCGGGTCACATGCAGGGTCAGCCAGGTAAATCAGTCCGTAGAATAGTCAGGATAAACACAGGAGCGGACAGAATAGTCAGGACAAGCCGGGTCAATCACAGGAGCGGGTAGAATAGTCAGGGCAAGCCGGGTCAATCACAGGGGCAGGCAGCGCAGTCAGGGTCAAAAACAGGGTCACAAAACGGGTGCAGGAATTCAGGATCACAGGAAGACCTTGCGGCAATTGGTGACAGTGCAGGGCATCTTTAAATAGTGCGCCCTGCACTGTCATTGGCTGGCTAGGACGCGCCCCCGGCTGTCATTGGACGCCTGAGGCGCGCCCGCGGCTCTCTACTGCGCATGCGCGGCTCCCTGTCAGCCGCGGCTCGCCGGGACCTAGTGCCCGTGTCCCGGCGCGATCCGCCGCCAGTGCGCACGCGCGGGGGACGGCGTCGTGACACAGGAGTCCGGAGCCGCGATCCCTGACAGGTTACCTTTAATTGCAGAATTAAATACTGTTAACTCATGTTGCATAAATGGATTTTACATTTTCCTGACCTATGATATTTTAGGCTAGGTTGACGCTATTGTCACTTTGTGGGCCACATTTGTGTGGGCACAGCAGTCCATTCATTTGAAAGGGCTACTGTGCCTATGTTTCACACAGCAAAACGTTCCTGCAGCACTTTGAAAATGCAGTTGCCGGGAAATCTCGGGGTGCTTTTGCACCATGCAGATTCCCTGCGGTTCCCACACCCACAAACATGGTGTGTTTTAGGCACTCAGTGTACAGATATCAGTATTATATATAGGGAATAGCACTCAGCAGGGATGGACTGACCATTTGGAAAGTCGGGCACTGCCCGAGGGCCCGGGGTCAGTAGTGGGCCCCATGAGATGCCCCTGGTACCTTTTTCATAGGCTGTTATGACTTTGGGCAAGGACACAGGGGCCCCATGATTTCCTATTGCCTGGGGGCCCCATGAGTTGTCAGTCCGCCCCTGGCACTCAGTGTACAGATATCAATGTTATTTGTACACTGAGTGCTATTTGCTAAATACACTGCTCAAAAAAATTAAAGGAACACTTTGAAACATATCAGATCTCAATGGGGAAAAATGTTATACTGGATATCTATACTCATATGGACTGGGTAATGTGTTAGAAACGTAAGGATACCCCATCTTTTGATAGAAATGAAGATTATCAACCTACAGAGGACTGAATATAAAGACACTCCGAAAATCAAAGTGAAAAAATTATGCACGGGCTAGTTCATTTTGCTGCAATTTCATTGCAGAAACTCAAAATGGTACTCAGTAGTTTGCACGGCCCCCACGTGCTTGTATGCATTCCTGACAACGTCGGGGAATGCTACTAATGAGATGACAGATGGTGTCCTGGGGTATTTCCTTCCCAGGTCTGGACCAGGGCATCACTGAGCTCTTGGACAGTCTGCGGTGCAACCTGGCGGCGTCTGATGTACTGAAACATGATATCCCAGAGGTGTTCTATTGGATGTAGGTCAGGCGAGTGTGGGGGCTATTCAATGGTATCAGTTCCTTCATCCTTCAGGAACTGCCTGCATACTCTCGCCACATGAGGCCATTCATTGTCGTGCACCAGGAGGAACCCAGGACCCACTGCACCAGCATAGGCTCTAACAATGGATCCAAGGATTTCATCCCGATACCTAATGGCAGTAAGGGTGCCATTGTCTAGTCTGTAGAGGTCTGTGCATCCCTCCATGGATATGCCTCCCCAGACTATCACTGACCCACCATCAAAACTGTCATGCTGAACGATGTTACAGGCAGCATAATGTTCTCCACAGGTTCTTCAGACCCTTTCATGTCTGTCACATGTGCTCAGGGTGAACCTGCTCTCATCTTTGAAAAGCACAGGGCACCAGTGGCAGACTTGCCAATTCTGGTGTTCAATGGAAAATGCCAAATGAGCTTTATGGTGCCAGGCAGTGAGCACAAGGGCCACTAGAGGACATTGGGCCCTCAGGCCACCCTCATGAAGTCTGTTTCTGATTGTTTGGTCAGAGACATTCATACCAGTGGCCTGCTGGAGGTCATTTTGTAGGGCTCTGGCAGTGCTCATCCTGTTCGCCCTTGCACAAAGAAGCAGATATCGGTCCGGCTGATTGGATAAGGACCTTCTATGGCCCTGTCCAGCTTTCCTAGAGTAACTGCCTGTCTCCTGGAATCTCCTCCATGCTCTTAAGCCTATGCTGGGAGACACAGCAAACCTTCTGGCAATGGCATGTATTGATGTGCCATCCTGGAGGAGGTGGACTGCCTGTGCAACCTCTGTAGTGTTCAGGTATCGCCTCATACTACCAGTAGTGACACTAACCCTAGCCAAATGCAAAACTAGTGAAAAATAGTCAGAAAAGATGAGTATGGAAAAAAATATCAGAGGCCTTCACCTCTAAAACCATTCCTGTTTTAGGGGCCGTCTCATTGTTGCCCATCTAGTGTACCTGTTGTTAATTTCATCACCAAAGCAGCTGCAACTGATTAATAACCCCCTTTGCTACTTATCTGACCAGATCAATATCTCTTTAATTGACTTGATGCTATACCGTGAATAAAAAGTGTTTCTTTAATTTTTTTGAGCAGTGTCTACATGAAATTAGCTTCTTCCTCTGCAAATTAACCAAAATGTAAAATAGGACTGTGATTTATAATGCCTGAAGACTGACATAAAATCATATTTCCAGTTGTCTCCTACCAGAAGTTATGTGTGGTAGCACTGGTAAAGGCAAGATTTGGAGAAATGCAAGTGTTTTTAGAATATAAAGCTTCTATAACAATATTGTAGGTTTAGAAAGAGAAATACTTTACATGTTGTATCAATTATAACTTCTTGAAGAGATACTTTATTTTATCTAGCTGCTCTGAGCCGAGTCAGAATTTCATTGTAACTATTGGTAGCTCAGATTCTCAAAGGAATGGAGGAAAAGAACTAAAAAACTACCCCAAATGGTGTTTTTGCTTTATATCCATCACCTTCAATAGATTTTCTTGTTCAGAAATGTAAACTTTTAAAGGTGACGCATTTTGTAAAAGTTCAGCTGAACCACTAATGATCAAAGTTTTCAGAAATTCAAGCATCTCTAGTGCTCAGCTCAGTATACCCTTTCTACCCTTTATGATTTGTGCTAAGTATTCTGGACGCCTCTTTCTGACTTTCTGTGTTTATCAGGCCAAAGAAAACTAGTTCAGCTTATTGTGTTTCACACCAATATATGAATCAGGTATTTAAAAGGGTTTTACCACTTAAAAGGAAAACTCTTGACCAGATGAAATGTAAATCTCAGCCAACAAATGTCATACATCCTGGCATTTCAAGTGGGGAAAGAGGAACACTTGAGGTGGTTATGTGCTAAAGCAAACACTATTTTTAACACTGTGTTCCCTAAAATAGTATTGGAACCCAACATGATCTATGTACTAAAGCAGATGCATTCTTAGACAGCCAGTAAACCTCAACAGTAAATTCTTAAGGAATGTCCACCTTCTATAGGCTAACACTTATAAAAGGACATGTTTGCTTAACAAAGTGTACTCTTAGGATCTATTTAAGTTTTTAGATGACTTTCACTCAAATTTCACACATTTTTCCAACTTAATCAGATTTGAAAATGTGTGAATATTGTGTGCGAACGTTTATACTGACCACTTAGCCCATTGAATAAAGTGAAGCTATGCTCACTTTTGAGTATTCAGCTACGTGGACTCAGGAAAATGAAAAAAATAGGATTTTTTGTTTGAACATGATTGTCTAATTACCTTTAAAGTTTCACTTTATTTACTAAGCTAATTGAACAATCACTTTACTAAATGAACATTTTCTATTTCTTCAGTAAATTGTCTAGTATTGCTATGACAGTGTTTATCACAAAAATATGTAATATAAGGGTATGGTATGTTTTGAGCTTCAGGGTTAGGTTCAGGTTAAGTATAAATTTGAGGGTTAGATTTATGGTTAGGTTTAGGGGATACTGCAATATAAATTTGAAGTTCTAATCCGTCTCAAAAAGTGGGAAGTAAGGCAAAGGTTGAATAAAAAAAACAATTCACTCCCGCTGAGTTATAGTATTCTGAGGGTAAGGAACCTATCCTGTTGGCAAATTATAATGATCAGTGTTGCCGACTACTTCTGGCAACACTGATAGTTTGAGAACCAGCTAGCCCATACATGGATCAAAATTCAGCTGGTCCCTGCTGAACTGGTCGAATTCCGATCCATGTATGGCTGTCTTAAGTGTCAATGGGGTTGATTTACTAACAGCAAATAGACTATGCACTTTGCAAGTGGAGTTGGTACTCATCTTCCCCATAGCTTAATGAATGTGGCAAAGCTGCACTTTGTAAAGAATTGTCTATTTGCCCTTTAGTAAAACATCCCCAGTAACTATTAGCCCTCATACACACTGGACGTTTTTACAGCTGCTGTTTTTGGATTTTGACGTTTTTTTTCTACAGCCAGTAAACTCCCCAGCATGTTATCCTGTGTGTCCATGCACACATAGACTATAATCAAAGTTTTTTGGCAGAGATGTTTTTTGGCTGGAAAAAAAACCCAGGACTAGTGGGTTTCTAGAGGAGTTTTTTAGCTGTAAAAACATCCTAACGCTGAAAAACGTGGTAAAACGCTGCAAACCAGCATTTTTGGACTTTTTTTGAATTAATAAAAAAAAAACCCGCTAAAACCGCAAATGTGGAAAATCGCTGCTAAATGCTAATGCAAAAATACTAAAATAAGTGGAAAAACTCACGTTTTTAGCATGACGTTACACAGCTAATTTTACCAGTGTTATCAAAACGCCCAGTGTGCATGAAGCCTTACTTTTGTACATACAATAAAAAACACTAAAATGTGTGGTTCTGAAACTTCTCTGCCAGAATCTGGTAATGTAACATTATTGACTGAGAATATTAAAGCATTGCACAGAGTCCTTGTTGCAGTCGCTCAATATTCATAAATGGTGATATATTACATACAGAGCAGGATCTTCAATGTAGCATTACATTGTGAAGGGTTGGTTGGTTGTAACAGTGTTTCTCTTGTGCCTCTGTTGTTTTATTTTTAGAGAGTATTCGTTTGGGACCTGGATGAAACAATCATCATTTTTCACTCATTACTCACTGGAACATTTGCACAGAAGTATGGGAAGGTGAGATTATATTTTATTACAATAAAATGCTATAAAGCAGCCTAAACTTATTAGTTCTTAAATTACGTGTAGGCAGCAATGTAGTAGTAAAAACATATGTTGTTATTCATCTGTCATTTTAAATCTGAAACTTGCAACTTATTCTGAATGCATCCTTTTATAGACAGCTCCAAGCATGCCTTCCTAAGGACTTATATTTTCTAGAAGAAAATGTAAAACTATGCAGTATATCAAACTGAATAAGAATACTGGATATGGGTATGTTTGTGCATATAGCCTTTCACATGCACAGTACATGAAGCAAAAACCTTTTGTCTTCATGGATATAGTAGGGAATAGTTAAGATTCCCATATTTTTTTAATTTTTTCACATCAGGCAGATTTCCATTAAATTTCCCAGAGACAAAGCAGAAAGTAAAAGGCTATCTCTGCAAAGCTAGGGAATACTCCCAATAGTTGTTACAGGCTTATCCATATGAAGATTTCACCTCATTTCCTGTTCCTGTGACAGGTTAAAAGTTTGGATCACTCTGTGTGCTGGATACTGTCATTTCCTGTCCTGTGACAACAGTTTCACCAGACAGGAAATGAGAAATGAGAAAAAATGTTCAATGGCAGCACATAAACGAATAAAAAGCTGGCATTGGTTCTAGCCATCCCCTCCTCTACTAAGGAAAATCACTTTTAATTCTGTATATCTGTTTGTTGCAGAGTTACCC